CCCCCCCCCCCCCCCACCATTTTTTTTAAATCTCAGTTGCTGGCAACGTACTTAATGCTGTATTGGATGGGATATTGATATTTATTTTCAATTTTGGAATTCGCGGTGCCGCTATTGCTACGGTGATTTCTGAGTACGTCAATGATGTGGTAAATTATACTGGTGTATTTTGATCTTGATGTTCCTATTATAAAATTTTGTCAAATTTTCTCTCTAACAGAACTTTTTATGTCCATTTCTTGCAAGGTATTTGATCGCTGCTATTCTTCTGTGGAAGTTGAATAGCAAAGTGTTCCTTGTCCCTTCTTATATTGATGGGAGAAGAATCATAGGTTACCTTCAATCTGGTAGGTTTTTTTTAAAACTTGCTTATAAAATGGAGACTATAGAGATGTTTTCTTCAATTTCTAAATATGTTTGTTCTATATTGCAGGGGGTCTTCTTATTGGCAGAAGCTTAGCAGTGGTGTTAACTACGACACTAGCCACATCCGTGGCAGCTAGAGAGGGCCCTATACCTATGGCTGGTCATCAGATTTGCATCCAAGTTTGGTTGGCAATATCTTTGCTTACAGACGCTTTAGCACTTGCTGGTCAGGTGTGACTTTCTTGACTTTACAAGTGTCATATCGCATATGTGATCAAATTACACAGAATGAATTGAAAAAAATTATCATTGTGATGTTGTTTCTTCAGACACTTCTTGCCAGTGGTTACTCCCAACAAAATTATGACCAAGCACGCCGAGTTATATATAGAGTTATACAGGTTGAAATTCTTCTCTTTTTAACTGTTTCATTCTCATCGTTGATTGATATCCTCTTTTTCCTCCACCTCTTTTATGGCATCGACACCATGGCTAACCTGAATCTCCATTTACCGTTCTTTGAATTTCAAACAGCTTGGCCTAGTGATGGGAACTGGTTTGGCAGTTATATTGTTCATCAGTTTTAAACCGTTTTCTAGCTTATTCAGCACAGATCCACAAGTTCTTGCAATTGCATGGTCTGGTATATTGGTAAGGAACTTCATTTCTGAATAGTTTACATGTTGGAAACCTATGTACCTGATGTGGACACTGTTCAGTTTGTTGCTGGATCTCAGCCAATAAATGCTCTAGCATTTGTTCTTGACGGACTGTACTATGGAGTTTCAGATTTTGGATATGCTTCCTATTCGATGGTATTCCCTGATCCTATCATGAACGGTAATCGGTTATACTATATATTGTTCTCTCATCTCTCTTTTTCTTTTCATGAGTAGGTACTTGTAGGACTGATTTCTTCAATCTTCATTCTTGTTGCTTCTCCTGCTTTTGGCCTTGCTGGAGTCTGGACTGGGTTGTTCCTCTTCATGGCATTGCGTGTAATAGCTGGAATGTGGAGGTAAATAAATTTCTGTATGAACTCAAGTCACACATTAGGTTGAGGACCGCCTAGTTTTCTCTAGGCTAAACGGTCATAAGAGTCTAATGCATCTCACTTCACTATAGTTTTCTCTGGCTATCAAAAGCTGCAAATATGTGCAACTTGATTTCTCCCTGATAAATATTATTCCACTCCAGGTTGGGCACAAAGAGTGGACCATGGAAATTGGTCTGGGATAAAAGGAAGCTGGAAAGTTAGTGTGACATAGGCTCAATCTCCTAGTAAAGGAGAACACAAACTAATCAGGGGATTTCGAACACAAGTAACTGCTCCAAGGTTTGATGCTGATGGAGTAATCTGTTGTCTCTGCTCCAGTGATGACATGGGTTATGTTCTGGTGGTCAAGGGCCAATCCAATTACTAAGACCGGCCAGATCAACAAGAAGGTGGCTTTTATTGAGCTTCTGGCTACTCACTGGATTTAGTATGCGAAGGACGCAGAAGTTGATCAGAGTTCCAAACCAAGATTTCTTCCCTTCCATACTTAACCAGGTTCTTGTAGTTTAGGGGCTTTTTGAATTTTGTATATAAATTAATGCTGTTCATGTTTCTCACAACTGTAGCCCCCAAAATGTCTCAGATATATACATTTTCTCAAGGAAAAAAGGCAACCATTTGTGACAAAATAATATCAGATGATTTATGAACAGTTTTATTGTAAGGAAGGGAGAGAATAGTCTTTTTGTTATTGAAAGACTCCAAAAATTTATATTAGCGTGGCTCAGGATATGTTTGTTAAAACACGTACAGGAGGCAACTTTAATATCAACCAAACAAAACCAAAGTGTGGTGGCCAAAGGAGATAATACGATATTATTAAGAGAATCACGTTGACACCTACAAAATGTTTACAAAATGACACAAAGATTCTAAAATGAAAAGACAAGTTCCATCACAATGGAAGATGGAGACTTGTTTTTTCTTCCTTTCCCTACAACAAAATACAGCTAATTCACTTAGTTTGATCCTTAATCCAAAGAAAATCTCAGAATCCTTCTGCAAGTCTGCATGAACATGAATCACAAGCACTGCAGCACAGAATACCAAAACGCATGTCGTTGATTAAACCTCCTTTGTAGAAACATAAACTACAATATCAACAAGCATCCAATTCAGCTAGTCTCAACTAAGAGTAAGGGAACCATGAACCATGAAACACCTGCTCTTCTAATACACCTGAATCATAATTTTGCCTGAACAAATCTACATCGAAATCGATGCCCAAACTTGCTTCCTCCATATGAGCTAAGTTTCCTGGTATGTTAACCTGTGGTTGTGTCTGTAATTGGTTAGGGAGATTAGGCAGCCTTCCCCATTGTTGGTTCTGAGCATCAATGTCGTATGATTCTTCTACAGACCAATTATGCAAGTTGGCAAGTCTGTTCTCCTGCATTTCGATATCATTTGACGGCCTAATGTCATCTAAGCAAGCATAACCATCTATGAAGCCATTATGGCCATTTAAGTTCGTAGTTTCTACAAGACCTCCCTGCAATTCTTGATCCGTCATTGATCCCTTAATTTCAACATCGTTAGATGGCTCAAAATCAGCTGTTACCAGATTGCTGGCCACATTTATCTGCTCGTTATGCATATAGTGGCAGCTATCATCTAGGCCATTGTGACTTCCGGATTCCAGAATCATGGGAAACTCTTTCTCCATGGCTTCGCTCGTTACCGGTTTCTCAACATTAACATCCTCTGAAGGGTTGCAATCATTTCTTCTATTGCATTCCGCATCTACAAGCTCATTATTTAAGTAATCGTTGCTGGACCTCAAAAGAGTCTCCAAAGATTCCCAATCATTATAAGGCTTCCCATCAGGTACTGAATCAAGATTCACAACCTGTAGCTCATTATGCAAGTAATCAGGCCTATGGTAGAAGCTTTCATAACTCCCGGTTTGAAAAACACTTGTTTCTTCAGCATCATTTCTGGCAAGCTCATACTCAGTTTCCAATTCGCATTTTACATCTTTAGCTTCTCTTAGAGTAGCATCTAACACCTCTAAATCCTCTGTCGCAAAACCCACAGAACAATCAGTTTCTTGCTTTGGCTCTTTATGCACACAATCCTCAAAGAAGTCAGATCTTTCCTTTGATTCGCCTACCACAAATCGAGAGCTTTCCATAGCACACTTGCTGCTCATGTCCAATCCCTCTGCCTCATCCCCATTATTATATGTTGTTGAAGACTCATATGATGATGATGTTGTTTTAGTTGTTTTAGTTGTTCCAGAAGACACAGAATTAGAATACTCCTTCAATTTCATAGTGTTTTGTGGAAAGTTAAGCCTGGCCAAACCACCATACATGGCCCTAGCAGCTTCATCATAAGCAAAAGCAGCATCATAGGCTGTAGGGAAAGTACCAAGCCAAAGACGATTGTTCTTCTTTGACACGCCACTAGAATTATTTGGTTCTCGAATTTCAGCTACCCACTTGCCCCAAGTCCTCTGCCTAACACCTCTATAAACGCAATCTGAGTTCTCAGGCCCTCCTTTCCCTTTCATACACCCCTTTTTGGACCCCTTAGATGGGGCCCTCCGAGTCTTTTTCACTCCATCTTTTGCAAAATCAAATCTGTCATTGTAATTCTTCCATTTAGCCAGAGTGTCCTCTATTGAATCACAACCATTACGTCTCTTGCGCAATTTTTTATCCCTGAAAGAAAACAAGTACCCAAAAAAAAAAAAAATTAGAACTTTCTTTAGACTGGTCAAGTTTCATGAAATTCAAAGTTGGTTCTGTAACTTTTAAACAATCAACATGGACAAAATTTACAGGCCCCTAGAAAAAGAAGACTTCAAAATTTCCCAAAACTTCAATTTCTCATAGTACACAATCATAATGGAGAAAGATATCAAAGTAGAGGAACCAAACACAAAACCCCAGATGGGGAAGATGAAAGAAAACCCATTATAAAAGAAGAAATGAAAACATGCCTCAAAGAACTCACCCGTCAGAAGCCTCAGACGTCATGGGAACTCAGAAAGATGTCTGCTTTCCTCTTCTCTTTTTGTGGGTCTGCTTATTCTACTCTTCTCTCAGGCTTCCTTCTTGTTATGTGTAAAAACTGATAAAGGGGTTTATCTGGGGTTTAAGTACGCGTTTAGTATTTGCCTCTTGAGCGAGGTTTTGAGGCGTTTGACGAGTTTGGTTTCTCTGTTTTCGGCCAGCCAGGCAGCCTAGCAAGCCCCCCTGTTGCTGCTAATAAAGCAAGCTTGTCGTCACTATAACTTGGGGACGAAGGCAAACTGAGAGATACTCCCGAAAAGGATATGTGTGAAATAATGACATGGACAATTCGTCGCAGCCTTATTTATGGCATCCTTTTGTGACACGTAGACTTTGTACCCTGTTTTGTCCCATCGTTTTCTTGGCCACGAAGACTTGGGTTATCTGTTTGCAATTTGTCTATGCTCTCTCACAGTTTGCTGATTTCTTTTATGTTAGTTTAATTGGCAGTTGGTGCTCCAACATAAAGCTGGTTTAATAGTAATTAGAATTCAATGCTGTTTGATTAGGAAGAAACTAGTGCAAGAGTCCTAATCTTCTGTCAAACAAAAATATTTGAATATGAAGTGCCGTTGACGCAGCAAAAAGTAATTTATTGAGACAAGAAAGAGTTGAAAGTTCAGCTTTTCTGATTTCAAAACCCAAAAAACCAAAAAAGGTTGATTTGTTTGTATAATAAAATTGTTCCTCATAAAACCTCTAACCCAATAAAAAAAAGGGGCTTAATTTACAGACTAGAGGTATTAGGTTCGAATCCCCACAACATCATAGTTGTGTGTGTAAAAAATCACACTTCCATACAATTTAGACTATCCCTTGCACTACAAAAAAAATTCCATATAAATATACTTTATTATACAAAAATAGTGCATTAAAAATGTTTTGGTCCTATTTTATCCAAAATTCATGATGTTTAAGCTTAGTTTTTTACCATAAACCCAAAAAAATAAAAAAGTAGGAGGTTTCATAGCTTGTAACAATAGCTTTCAAATAATAAAAAATATATTTTACCAATAGTGAGGGAAATTGAATAGAAAGTAGGAGGTTGTTTCTTGCAAAACTCTTCGAATCAATTCATTTAACTTATCTTATATTTATGAGGTCAAACACAAAAAAGTGGGAATAAGGTTTGCCCGTTTTTAAGAGATGGGACTTGGATTGGAAAGCTTGACCATCACGAACATGAACGAGCCTCCCTATATAATATATATGTATATAATCCCATCAACCATTGTCGCAGTCATACTGTTGACAAATCACAACACAATGAATTGCTTTCCAATCACAGAAGTACCACCAAATCAGACGCGTGTGACCCCAAAAAAGAAAGAAAGAAAAGAAAAGAGACAAATTTTGGAAATCTTCTTTGTTCAGTTTTCTGGTAGGCACAAGGCCCAAACATGGAATATACATGGGCCTTGAGCAAACCAAACAAACAGTTTTCTGGGTACTCATGGCCGGACGAAGGCCCAAAAATGACACAATGACGAATTCTTGTGATGGGAGCTCCCTTTGGTTGGTGGTTTTGCTGGTAATATGGTAACTGGACAAATCTTACAAGCTAATAATCATGGCCTTGTACTGGTGGTCAAGGAGGGTCCTTTCCTAATTTTCTGAGATGGCAATTGTGCTGCTTATCGTCGGCCTCTTGAATTTGTGGTTGAGTTGTCGGGTTGCATATGCTTGAATGAATGAAAGGAGAAACAAACATAGGGAGGTGACAGATGAAAATATTGCACAATCCATTTGCTTTCTTCTTCCTCCTCTTATAAATGGACAAGATACAGTAGGTGCACATATAACTGAAAGGACACAGGGTATCAAATCATCCCCATCTTCAAGACCACGAAAACATGCCACACCGTAATTAGTACAAGAAAACACTTCCATGGTTACAACAGATCTTCATCTCAAAAGTCACCAACTGCATGATGCATCGAATGCAATGCCATGGCAACTAAATCTTACATATACATGAGCTACCACATCATCAAGCCAGGCACTTTCCTGTATGCTGTGATTCCAACAGAAAACCAAGACAAACATGAGGAGCAGAACGCTACACAAGGATTCACCGACTTCATTACTCCTCGTTTTTGCAAGGGATAATATAGCTTCCCACCATGAAGGATTCACTGATTCCAGAACAAGATAAAGAAGACAAAAGTGAGGCACATAAAGCTGAATTTGTGGGCTGGATTAAAATCTCTTCAAATACATGAAAATTGGTAGTCATGAAATTTGTGGACTGATTTTTAATGGTAGTCAACCTACGACAACTCCAAATACATGAAAATTGGTGCTAGAGAGACCTTCTGTTCATCGTTTTATTCACTTACAAAACAATGTGATTCCACACGAGTAATTATTAGTTATCATCGTGGAACAGATATTGAGGGTCCGCAGATAAGGGGAATAAAACATTTGAAATACAACCATTACAAGACAATTATTAACAATGAGGTGCCCAATTTTCGTACAGAGGGTGCAGACGGGCTGAGACAACAATCTACTGTAACGGTAATGCCTGTGCATGCATTTCTCACCTAAAAATTAAAAAGAGATTGTTAACTATAGTGGACAACATACAAGGTAGACTTGACAGAAATCTAGAAAGAGCCGTCCCAGGCAGATGATATGTGTTGGTGATAATGGAAGCGGACAAGCTCAGCTACCAGAGAAATCCTTCAGAAAAGAACCCTAAAAGGAACTAGAATCTGGACTGGAGAAAGAAGAGATATGTTGAAAGTACGGAAAAGCTAAATTTGTAAATGGAAATACTGCAAGATTCAATATGTAAAAAAAGGAACACAACATTATGTGGAAGAAACAACACGATCAAACAATTTAAAAAGACAATGCAAAACATGAGAGTGATGGTCACCCGTGCAATGTTGAGCTTTGTACTAAGACTTTACACAACATTAGTAATGTCAGATAATTCACTAATACAGGTTCATTGCTTCACTCAATACATGAAATAAACTAAACAAGAAGGAAAAAGAAAATTACCCTGACACCACCACAAAACACCATCGGCAAGAATCAAGCAATTACTCCAACGCAGCAGACCTTGCAGCTTTGTACCTTAACTTCCTATTGAGATTTTCCTGCCAAAATTTGCCAAAAGAATGAATTCACAACTTCCAAATATGATATGCAGAGCACACACTTAGCATTGAAAATGGACAAAAAAAAAGAATAAAGGCATACAAGCTCAATATTGCAATTGATAAATTCATGACAATTTGACTGCATTGACAAAATCCCATCCAAATTTACATGTAATTTCCCGAAAATTTACTAAATTCAGTAAAGGCTCACCTGCTCAAGAACCTTAGCGGAGCTCTTCTCAACGAGCGTGGTCAAGCTTTCAATCTTCACAAGCATTTTCTCATACAAATCCTCCACGCCAGTCGTGTAATTCGCAGCCTCCGAACCCATCAGCCTACTGAGGCTCCCAACCTCCAACCCCTCACTGCACATATCCAACTCGCTCTGGTCCTTGTTAACTTGCCTCAACTGATCCAAATTGTCCTCTCCTCTGTCCACGATCATCGGAGAAACCCTCAGCTCGAATGACAAATTGGGAAAAGGCGAGTTGGGGCTGAAGTTCTCGTACTGCGCTCGAAACGCAGGCCCAATGTTGACGATTTGAATTGATTTGGGCTCGAAGGAGTGTTTGGATGCACGGAAGTGGTAGGCCCGGTACTCGTGGGTGTGGATGGTCTGATCAGTGATCGGAGAAGCGAAGAGGAGAAAGAGGGAAGGAACGAGATTAGGGTTGGAGGGGCCTTCTGGAGGGTTTTGGATTGGGAACGTGAGATTGGGGTTGGAGGAGAGAGCGTTGGAGACGGAAAATTCTCTGAGAGAGGGACGGAGGTGGGTTTTGCGGCGGCCGGAGAACCAGCCGAGGAGGTGGGCGGAGGGGGATTGGGCCTGGGCCTGGGCCAGGACCAGGCGGCGGAGGAGGACTGGGTCGACCCTGCCCGAGGAGTTGTAAAAGGAGTGGGTGGAGCCGGAGCAGAAGAAGCCGGTGATGGTGGCGATGAGAGTGGCGGAGGAGGTGGAATTGGGAGAGTCGTCGGTGAGGGTGGGGGCGATGTGGCTGACGTGGCCGAAGATCAGACCGTCGACGGAGCCTTGGGAGGTTGAGAAGCGTTGGATCATGGAGGCTAGGGCTGGCCCTGATATTGCTACTTTGTCGATGGAAGGGTCTTCCATTGCATTAGAAATTTGAGCTCCGAGAGAGAGAGAGAGAGAGAGAGCGAGAGAGAGATGGAGCGCGAGAGAGATTGAGCTCTTAGAGAGTCTCAGGCTACTCACCAGATTGCGCGAACAAGCAGAAGTGAATTAGAAGAGAGTGTATTAATTAGAAGGAATAATTACCATATTGCGCGAACAAATATAGAAGGAATAATTAGCAATATTAAATTTGTATTTATTTATTTATTTTAAATGGCATTTGATTTTAGGTATAACATGAAAATGTTTGATTAGAAGAGAGTGATGGGAAAGTAAGTGTGACACTAATTTAGTTGTCAACTATAATTTCATAACATCCATTCTTCTGTTTGTTTAACAGAAACACAACTTGGATAAAAAGAATACATTATAATTTATTATCATCCTCAACCAAAAGAATCAAACAATAACCTATATTTACATATACTAATTTATAAAGAATTTTCAATGCCTACTTCTTCCTAAACCTGTGAACAAAGTAATTTTATAACAAAACCCTCCTTTAAAATAATAAATAATAAAACCCTGACTCTCATTTGTTGTTGTTGTTGTTGATGATGGTAACAAACCCTTTTTACTCAGTTGTTGATGGTGGTGGTGGTACTTCTGTGCCTTCTTCAGCAGAGCCAACATTTGCCTCAGGCTGCTGAATCTCCTCTAGCTGATGCAGAACTTGCTGAGCTTCTGGTCGTGCCACTGGCGATGGATCCACGCAGTGCAGAGCCAGTTTCAATGTGTTAAGCAGCACATCACCTATGGTTGGCACATCCCTCATGAGCTCCAAATCGAAAACTTCGTTTGTCCACTCCTCTTTCACAATGGATGCCACCCACTGGGGCAAATCCATGCCGTTCATTGGTTCCCCGGGAGACTTCCCTGTCAGGAGCTCCAATATGATCACCCCAAGGCTGTACACATCAGTCTTTGTTGTGCTCTTCTTGGCCTTTGAGAGCTCCGGTGCGTTGTAGCCAAGGGTTCCTGCAGTGGCAATCACATTGGTGTTTGCAGCCACGGTCATGAGCCGGGAAAGGCCAAAGTCTGCAATGTGAGCGTTGGTCTGCTCATCTAGCAGTATGTTGCTGGATGTGAGATTCCCATGTATGATGTTCTCCTGGTTGTGCAGGTGGCAGAGTCCACGCGTCACACCGATCGCTATGTTCATCCTTGTTGGCCAATCAATGATGGTTTCGGGCCCTCGAGCTGCATAAGATGCTACATTAGGATGTTGGGCAACATTTATAGTATATAGTTGTATCAAACGATCAGGAAAACCAGGAGCTATAGTTGAATCAACTTACCATGAAGGAAGGATGCAAGACTGCCATTAGGCATGTAATCAAAGACCAGAAGCTTCTCTCCCTTAGGTCCCAAGTAATAGGCCCTCAGAGCTAGGAGATTAGGGTGCCGAATTTTCCCAAGTGCCGCAGCTTCAGCTTCAAACTCCTTTTGACCCTTTGTAGTCTTTTCCCTCAACCTCTTCACTGCAACTTGATTACCTTCCTCTAATGTTGCCTTATATGCAGTCCCATATGTACTCTTTCCCATTATCTCAGCAGTGGCACACAATAGGTCATCAGCCGTAAAAACAAATGGCCCATCAAAGTGAACAAGCTTTCCACCAGCTTCACCGCCATATTCCACTCCGGTGGTAGCAGGAGCCGCCTTGTCAGTGCTCCCAGCAGCAGCCTGCTTGACAGTTTTGTCATTCTTTCCTTTTGAAGCAGACCTTTTCCTGACCAAGCAAACAAGCAAAATGCAGCAGAGTAGAAGCAGAACCGCTAGGAGGGCACCTGCTGCTATGAGAATTATATCTTTCGTACTTAGTTTGTGGTGATGCTTTTTCTTCAAAGGCCGTGTTGGTGGAGATGGAAGAATCTGAGGTGGGGGAGAAGAGCAAGGAGTTGAAGTGCTATAGCCACATAGCTGAAGATTCCCCACAAAAGAGCTGGAATTGAACTTTTTGGAGAGGAGGGATGGGACTGGGCCAGAGAGATTGTTCTGAGAAACATTGAAGGAAGTGAGATTGGCTAGGCTGCCAAGTGAAGCAGGAATTTCTCCACTGAATTTATTTTCAGATAAATCAACTTGGTAAATTCCAGAAATATTCCCAATAGATGCTGGAATATGGCCACTGAAATTATTCTTCCTCAGGTTGAGTACTGAGAGGTTCTGCAATCTGTCAAGGCCTTCTGGGATGTGGTTATCGAGGTGATTGCCCTCTAGATTCAATGAAACAAGGGAGGAGAGGTTGGAAAAGCTAGAAGGAAAGCTTCCATTGATAGCATTGTTGGATAAGTCTAGCTTTTGGAGCCTTGTGAGCCCCCCTAGTTCATTGGGGATAGTCCCAGTAATCTGGTTATTGTTTACAGAAATCTCTTCAAGAAAACCCAACTTGCTCAGAGAACTTGGAATAGTTCCAGAGATCAGATTATGATCAAGGGTCAGGATCGCAAGTTGGTAGCTTCTATTTCCTGTTCCAGTACCCCAAGTACTTGGAACAGAACCAGAGAGGTTGTTGTGTTGGAGAGCAAGGATGGTGAGAGAAGGTGACTTGGTGAGACTAGATGGGATAGTACCAGAAAGTGAATTGAAGCTCAAATTGAGCCTGAACAACTTGGTAGAGTTTGCAAGACTAGAAGGAATTGTACCAGTAAGTGAATTGTTGCTTAAATCAAGAGTTTGAAGAAGAGGGCAGTTACCAATTGAAGGAGGTATAGAACCCGAAAGCCGGTTATGGAAGAGGTAAACCCCTCTGAGATTGTGAAGGAAGCCAAGGGACCAAGGGACAGGGCCAGCCAAAACGTTGTCGTGGAGGCTGAGCTTTCGAAGTGCTTGCAGCTGCCCAATCTTCTCGGAGATTCTGCCCCCGAGTCTCTTCCATGGAAGCTGGATTGCAATGACCTGTCCCTTGACGCACTTGATTCCTGCCCACCCACCTGAGCAGGCTCCATAGCCGCTGTCATTCCAGCTGCGCAAAACGCCATTGAAATCGATGAGTTCACGCTTAAATGCTCGAAGTGCTTGGTAATCGGATTGGGTGACAACCACACTATCTCCTTGCTGACCCAAAACAGGTTGGTATGTCAGAGCCAGAAGCTGAACAAAGAGCAAGGCATACACGAACACAAACAAATTATTAAAGCCATGCATAATCTGAAATGGACAGAACTTATTTTCCATGAACATCAAAGAAATGCAATGTTGAAGAAGATGTTCAAGAAAATAAGTGAATGCAAATGATGAAGGAACTGAAAGCTTTTCTAGTTCAGCTCAAGGTCTTTACAGTTGTAGTAAAGAGAGAGAGAGAGAGAGAGAGAGAGAGAGAGAGAGAGAGAGAATCTTTAGAGGTGATGAACAACGAAATGAAAGCTAAATAAGAGGGGAGAAATAATTGAGGCGGTTTGAGCATGTGAGAATCTGAGTGGGTTGAGACAGGGGAGAAAATATTGTATTGGAAAAGAGATGAGGTCGGAGACAGAGTCAGGGTGGGATGGGGTCAATGTCCTGAGTTGAAGACTACTTCGTCATCGTTGTTTATCTGTAACGGCTAGTTTTTTTCTCTCTCGTGCATTTCCACCATATAACGGGCTGGGTTGAAAAACCGGTTTCTCTTCAGATTCTCCAACGGCTATATTTCATAGGCCACATACCCGGCAATTTTTGGCATCCAGTGAATTATCAACTTGGTACCATACCAGGGGTACAGCCAAAATGACTGTAATGACCTCAGTGGATCTGGATGTTGAGAAACTCCTTTTGCAGACGTCCTAGACCGATTCAAGCTCAATGATGTCCATTAAAGTTTGTCTGGCAATCATTTGTTTCAACTATGAATTTTCCCTTTTGGATGGCATATGCATTTTAACAGCATCCTACTTTTGCTTTCTGGGAGGCTTTAAAAATTACAGTAATTGACATGATAGGACTTCGTAATGATTAACTTCTGACTTCTGGTAATCATCCTTCGCAAATCGACATAATCATGGTTATAATAGAGCTTTGTTTTGTTCTTCCTTAAGCAAATTAAACAACAGGGATTCAGATTTCGTGCAAAACGTGCAAGATTTATCTAGTAATCACATTTGTAATTTTTTCAAACATTGTTCTTCAACCTGATATACGATCGCTGTGATCAGTTGGCACGATCGATATATATATACGCTAATCATCGAGTGCTATCATCAAAACCAATACAAAAGAGCATTGGCAGGTTGAAAGTAGACTTGGCACAGCAAAATTATACTGCTTAGCATATAAACAGACCAAGGAGATGATGACAAAGGCACTTTCTCCCTCTTTTAAGAACAACAAGGGCACAAGGGAAGAGGATGACAACCCAGATTTAATATTTGCACAAACAGACATGTAAACAGTTCATCAGCCTCCTTCATCAGGGCCCTGATGTGTGAACTGAACTAAAACTTTTCCACTATGCCAATGGTAATACATCACTTTTATCAAAATAAATACTGCGACTAACAAAGTACAGAGCAATCACGGGAAATCTGCAGGTCTCATAAGCACTCTTGAATATGGGGATTATTCAACATCTACTATATGGCTAACATGAATGGCACCGTACTAGAACTATCCCCCGAACCTTTAAGCTCGGCGTGATCCATTGAATTTCACATTCTATGTGACTCATTTATCTAACCAGATTCTTTAAAGCATGTAAAAGTTTGACCAAAATGTTCTTATTGTCTAAAATTTTCACTTGTCATGAACTCGATAGATGCAAAGAAATTGGTGAAGCAACCGAGACAAGAATTCACCACGGGTGGATGCCCCCATGATAACTAAATCTTAAACATCATCAAGACCAGGTATCAGCAATGGCATCACATATCAATACTGTCATAATCCCAGCTTGTAAAACGAAGTGAAACCTTGAATCAGGCATGTTAAACTATCCCACATTCCAGTGCTAGATTTCAAGTGACATATCAAGTACATAGATCTATTGGCAATCTAAATCCTAACCAAAGCACATCTGAATCGCTAACAATGTAGCTGCTGTTAAAAGAATCAGAAATATATAGATTACGGAAAAGTGTCAACATTTCTTCAAGTATTTGATTTGAACAAAAGACGTTGTAGAAGAAACTAGAATACATGCATTCATCCAAATGAACTAAGAGGCATACAGATCTGAAACTCTAATTCGTAGAGATAAATTATATATTGCAGATTTGCAGAGAGTAGAACAAAAAGAATCATTTATATCAATGATCTGTGGCAGTTACAATTTGTACTCGACAAAATCAAATCAAGAAATAGAGGGACAGAAGTTCGATTGATAGATCCACCAAAGAACCATGAAAAAACATGAATTTTCTATCTAAATTAGAACGAAGATACACAGATCCATACAAATTGCGCACAACAACACCCACCCTAAATATGTTTGTAGGACAAAAACGTCAACTTTATTATTACTTTTTTCTTTTTTGTTGTCTGAGAACAAACTATAATATGAATTTAACTACTTATACCATCATCATCTTGAGCGCGATCCAACGACAATGGGGAGGAGATAGATAAGATCAACCGCGAGCGGCGATGACGGCAGGGGCCGTGGCGGCAGCGACATTGGAGGCAGCACCGTTGAGGAAGGAGAGGAAGCCAGTGGAGGCTGTAGGCTCTTGCTCGTCCAAGAAGAGGTCCTCGGGAACCCTAAAGGCGCCGTGAGCGAAGACGACGGCAACGCCGACGAGGAGAGCCGAGATGAGTAGGGATCCGACGGAGGTGAGGAAGACGACGAAGATGGAGAAGGCGATGAGGCCCCAGAGGGTCTGGGTGTCGGAGAAGGTGCGGCCGAAGATGACGAGGGGCTGATCGGAGGGCCGGAAGAGGTAGAGGAAGAGCCAGCCGGCGAGGAGGCCGAGGAGGACGAGGAGAGAGAAGGGGTGGGTGAAGAGGGAGACGGCGACGATGAGAGCGACGGTGGCGAGGTAGTTGACGCGGAAGTAGGAGTAGTTCTTGCGGACGCGGCCGGTGGCTTCGGAGAGCGACTCGGGCTTGGCGAAGGCGGAGCGGTCTAAGAGCTCGGACCAGGGGCGGCGCTGGGAGAGGCCGTAGCGGAGATTTTCAGAGATGTGGGTGAGGAAGGCGCGGAAGGCTGGGGTGGCGATCGGGGCCTGGGATTGGGCGGAGCCGGCTGTGGTTGCGGTGGTTGTGGACGTGGTTGAGACCGGAAGGATCGGAGGTGGAGTTGGGTTCGACATTGCGGGTCGGTGGATCTGATCGGATCTCAGATTTTGGATCTCGGATCTGATGTTGTGAATTTTGGTTTTGAGGGATTTTTTTTTGTTATAAGGGAAGGAGGGAAGGGTGTGTGGGCTAAGAAAAGGAAAGTCGACGGAAATAGGAGGGGAAGTAAATTAGGAGAGGGAAGTTTTACGGTTCTTCTTGCTTCGTTTTTACGCGTTCGCCGTCAAAATCCGGGTGAAATGATATCACCCGGGAATTTTCAATTTCCACTCACTTTCCCGGAGGATTTTGTATTTGTATTATATCGTCACAAAGTCTCAAATCCACCGCATAAAATCATCTCCAGTCTACATGGACGGCCTAAAATAAAACAAGCAAAACTTAGTGGATCCCCTTCATACTATTTATTTTGCCTTAATTTTATGACTTCTGTTTAAATTATCAATTTATGTTTAGTTTTAAAGTAAATTAGAAACGAAAAAGGGTGCATTTGGCTAAAATGGGTTCAACCCAAATTTCAACCTTTTTTTTATATAATCTTTTTCTTTCAATAAAGTGCATCACGTAAAATATTTATCTTATCTTACACGATTAGATTTACCGGAAATCTAGTCGGAAGAGCTCTCCAGTTTGGAGAAAGTCCAATAGAAGTAAAGCAAAGGAAAGAACACAGGCCTGAGGCAGAGATCAACGGAGAGAGTTTCAGAAAGTCTAAAAGAATAAGGACTAGATCAAGAAGTGATTGGTGATAATGGGGCTCTCATGGATTGCAATCGTTATGGGGGCAAGAAACTATGGCTACTCTGCATTGAAAGAGTGCACTTTCAAATATCTGGTTAGGAAGGCAAGCCAAATTTAAGATAGACAACAGACCCGAACAGATGCATACACCGAAGAAATGAACCTTAAACCAGGATTGCCAACTATGTGGGTACCATAACATCATTGATCATTACCCAGGGAACACGATTCCCGAATGCGAATGCAAGCATACAAAGCCTTCAAAAGTTCCATTAGGTTCTACTAAACAAAAGCACACATACAGAAAATGCCAATATCCTTTCCAGTATTATCAAAGTACTGTGGTACCAAATCATCACTAGATATAAAGCTGTCTCTGAATAGAGAGCATAAAGTTGAGGAGAAATTTAAGATACTGCTCCGATGGTAACACGCGCTTTAGAAGGTTGACCCGTTCCATCCAAAGTTGGAACCCTGCAGAATAACAAAGCACCAGAATCATCTAAAGTGGCAACAAGTATAATAAATTGCAAATCAACATGAAATTGATTCTTGAGAACGACTAACAGGAGCTATGCTTAAGGCTTTAGACAGTAAAGACTTATTTACATGATCTAGTTCTGGTGTAAAGCATGCAAACACTGTGCATATTCTTGACTTTGATGGGCCTAAACAAACAGGAAGAATGCAATGAGAAGAAACGAGTGCACGACATGACACTTTTCTATGGAAAACTTGAAAAGGTGAGATGGCTTGCCTTGGTGTCATAGAACTTGAGGAAAAATCGTGACTTGGGCACAGACAACTTAGTCTCAAGAATTGCGGCAATTGCAGCACTCAACTTCTTGTTCACATCAGGGTTAAGGCCACCAATGGAGACCAACTCACCATAGGCAGCCGGCTGCTCAGTCCCACCAAAAGCTATGGGTACTGATCCCTTCAGCACAATCATCACATACTGCACATCGACAATCACAATTTACATAAGACGATCTCAAACACGACCAAACAAAAGAGGAAGATAGTTAAAAAGGGAATTAAGCAAACAAGTAATGGAGCAATACATCACATACAAAAGTATCGAAACATCACTATAAACCTAAAAAAGTAAAATTCCCATCCAATATCAGTGGAAAACTAAAACATCTTCTCAACCAATTCCGAAACAGAACTTAGGACACATCGGGTGAGTTGTTGGAAACTCGGATGCTATCGTTAAAAGACATGCATATAACTCTATGATTGCCCTCTTCCACGAATACTCAAGAACCCCGAGCACACCAGTTTGGTTAGAGAACCCTTTTTCTAAGGCAAGCAAAGCGAACTACAGAGGAGGTACATTGCATTGCTTTCCATAAAATATTAAGTTACTAAAGCAAACCTCAATCTCTAACATCTACCACTCACTAATATTTCTCATTTGTTTGGTGTTCAAGTTATGCATCGTAGAATCAAAAAAATTACTGAAAAGTCAACCTTATCAAAATTACTAAACCAAAAGTCAAAATTAGCAAGACTTATAAACCTACTTTTGTTTAAGCTAAAATACCAAATATTGTTCATCAAGCAAAAATAAACAAAACTAAATTCGAAAAGGAACATGCATCTACCTAAAATTTAGAGTTCAACACAAAAATTCTAAAATCTGAGTGAGAGAGAGAGAGAACCGTACGGCCTCGGGCTTGCTGATGATCTTGGCGACGGTGGAGGTGGCTTCGGAGAGGATAGAGGAGGTGTCTACTCCTTCCAGGCTGACGTTAGCTGAGATGTTGAGGCACGGCATCGTTTTCGTCTCTGAAACTCTCTCACACTAGACTGCTTCTGCAAATGCTCTGGTAGTAAAAAAAACCCTCACCCTCCCTCTTGTCCTGTCCCCTTCTATTTTATGGGAGAGATATAATCTCAGTATAATACACACATTTTAACTTCCCAAAATGCCCCTTTGCCATCAGCACACTTGAAATATGGGTTTAGCCCATTGTTCTCAATCTTTGAGCCCGTAGAATAGGTGATTTGGATCCGTTCTACCTCTATGGACCTACTCATATTTTGTTTCAAAAAACTTTCTTGTTGAACTTGGGCCTAATTTTGGCCAAGGTCAATTTTGACAATTTATATACTCTCCCAAAAAATAATAGAGAGAATTCAACGGCCGAAAACCTAAAGGTTGTTCCTCAAGGTTGGTTTTATGGAGGATGAATTGGGGTCTAAGATCAGGTTGAAAGGCCTCCTAGTTTGAAGTACAGCATGTGAATACTTCCGTAGTGTAGTTAGTACGATGAAATGAAAAAATACACACAAAACAATATAGGTTTTATTGTTCATAGTGTTATATGTTCCTAATATATTTTGAGTACAACTTATCTTTTTACAATAGTCATATCGTATACAATTTGACATGTTATTTTATTAATCGGCTCATAGTGTTAAAGAAATGTATATATAATGATAGGAGAACGTACTTCTTTCTAAAAGCCACAGCACTTCTATGTCTAACATAATATTTTTGATTGACAGTCTTTTAACATAATATTTCAAATCGTGTGACAACATAGCTCTATAAATGTTGCTGCTACAACCAAAAGAATGGTCACCTATATCCCTTCTGAATGCAAAATATAGACAAAGAACTTGGAACAGAGAGAGACAAAGTGGCTGGATTTCCTTGACTGATAAAGTTTTCTTCACCAAAAAGGGAAGAAGAAAAAAAACCACTTTTTTGGGCTGATATTTTCTCTACCGAAAGGACAATAATACTAGCAATAATGGTGTGGCACCGTGTATGCTTTTTTTTGGCCTGAGTGACGTGTTGTGTTTAAGATCAATTTGAGTAGGTCAATTTGCCCACAATGATATTTGATAGATCAGAACAAAAGAAAGAGAGACATGGTACCAAATTCTACAAATCATATCAGAGAAAAACCATTGGTTACTTTCATTCGGTGGGTTTTGTCCTGCTACAAATAGAAACGCTACACAAAACAACGCTTCTTTACCCTCCTTTATTTCTTTGGCCAACAAATGCGGAAGACAATGAACCAAAACCTCAACCTCTTTTTTATTTTTTTTGAATTCCATATCAGAGCTTAGACCCTGTTGCAGTACTTACATCAACAACTTTAAGAAAAAATCTCGTCTTTGGGATTGAAAGCTTGGCCTCCATGATTGTGCCAAGGGTGGCAATCAGCTGCCTCTTCACTGGCTTGTTAATTCCACCCATTGCTACTAGCTCACCATATGCTGCTGGCTCACTGGTGCTCCTGCCAAATGATATGGGCACCGATCCCTTAAGCAACACCATCACATACTGCACCAACCACCAAAAGCAAAGTTTGTGTTCAAGGATTAAACATACAATTAAATGGGATAATTAAAGAAAATCTTGATTGGGAGTAATTCTGAAAGAGTAAAAAGCGCTTTTTAATTAATATTGTTCGGTAAAATCCGCTTTATAAGTGCTTATGGAATCACACTTCCAATTTTTTTGACGTTCTTCTAAGAAAAGTGCTTCTATACAAATATTTTATAAACAAAAGTGCTTCTTACAAAATTATTTCCAAACGAAACCTTAGTGTGTCAAGAATCGAATTATGCTGAAATGGGTTGATGCAGACACCAACCAACCACAAGGCACTCATATTATTAAGTGGGAAAATGCTCAAAAGCCGGAAACCTTGGTGGGGCTCCAACCAGTGGACAGACAGCTACTCCAATACTTAAAATATCATCAAGTGGTTACCTATTTATCTTGTTTTTCTGATCAAGTGGTCCTAAGAAGAGCTCAGCAGCTGACTATGGATTTTTAAACTCAAGACTAAAATTATATACAATGGTCATGGAGGATTGGTGCGGCTGCCCTCGCCAGTCAAATGGGACTAGTCTCACAGCTCAGTGCATGTTATTAGGTTAAACTGGGCTAATGTCACAGCTTGCCAAGCATTTTTCTTCTCCGTAACCACTAAACTCCAAAACTTTAAGTTGTTACGAAACGCCAAAAACCAAAGAAGTGTAGATGTAATGGGATTAGAGGTGTGAACTCAAAATCTCCTAAGAACTAAAGACCAGTATAATATCGACGACAGCGGCTAGATGTTAAAAGACTAAATTATTAAAAAATGAGTCAACAATGTATATCAAAATAACTCATCACGTATCACATCAGTAAAACCCCATTAGGTACTAGCCCTTGACAAAAACCAGCATAAACAAACTACAATATGCAGCCCTGTTGTGATTTGACTACCAGACCAACTCCCCTTGCTCCTCCTTGAGATTTGCACAGGTTGCCCCAATCTGCGCTGACTTTGTAACATGGGGGCTTGGGGGGGGTGGTCCCAAGAAATTCCAATCTTACATGGTTGAGAGACCTTGATGCTCATTGATTTACAGAAGCCAATTCTTTTCAACCTGCTACTCTATTCATACAAAATCTGGGCAGACACTAGCTAAAAGCAATTGATATGATTTTAGGTACTAAAAAGAGAAGAAGGGAACCCAAAAGCAAATCTCCCTTGTGAATTACAAAAAAAGAAAAACACAAAAGCAGAACAAGTGATTTCCCAGTATCTAATTGCTACAGAAGAACAGCCTCTAATCTTTACTCGGATCAACTAAAAGTTAGCTAGTGGGTCTGGACTCTATAATTTACTTGTAAAATATTGGTTTTCCCAGTTGACATTACCTCATTTGGGTGTTTTTTGGACAAAAAGTTGAGCCTATCTATATAAGAATATAGCATTAATCATGATTAACGGATTACAAAATACCAAGTACCATGCATGAAATTGAATTAAGAAACTCAACTTTGTGTGTGTGTGTGTGTGTGTTTCTGAGTGATTGGCATGAGTGAGGAAGAGAAAGAAACTTACGTCTTCAGGCTTTCCAGTGATGGAAGAGATGGCTTTGGTGGCTTCAGAAAAGATGGAATCAGTGTCAAATCCATCTAGGTTCACGTTGGTGGAGATGTAAAGGCAAGGCATCTTCTGATCTTCCTTCTTTTGAGCTTTTGAATTTTTGAGTTTGAACTTGGACTCTTCAAAAACTTGTTTGTGGGTGGAAGGAAATATGTGTGAAAGAGAGAGAGACAGAGAGACCAAGCACCTTCCTCCCTCCTCAATCTTCCTCTAATATATATATACACTTGCAAACTTGGATACTTCAAACAAATACCAAGCATATTTCTAAACGTTTTCAATGTTTTGCCCTCAAATTAATTACTTTTCCTCTTGCCAATATATATGATTAGACTGATTATAAATAGATGAGATGTATATTACACTTACGAGAACTGAGGAATCAAAGTAATATCTTCTTAATCTTATTTAGTGCTAATTAATTACACTTTTCTTTTATGAACAAAAGTTTAGAGGGAAGGGAAGGGAGTACACATTTTCTGTCAACTAGTGAAATTGCTTTACAAATTTTGAGGAAAAAAACTACTTTTCAAATGAAAAGAATAGGCTTATTATCACAAAACGTCCCTGACGTTTGCGAAATTATCACATTGCATTCCTAACGTTTTTTGTATCATTAATGGTCCCTAACGTTAATACAGGTACTCTTAAATAATCCCTCTGTAAAAAAAACCGTTAAATTTAGGGGTATAATTGTCAAATCAATCCAAAATTATAATATATTTTTTCCCTTCCCTTCTCTCTCTCTGTTTCTTTTTTTTTTTTCTCCTCTCTTTCCTCCTCTTTTCTTCTTCTTTTCCTTCGCTGTTTCTTCTTTCTCTCCCTTTTTTTTTTCTTCTTTCCTTCTTTGTTCCTTATTTTTCTTCTTTCCTTCTTTCTCTTTTTTTTTTTTTTTTTTTTCTTTTTTTTCTTTTTTCTTCCTCTT